GAGATGAACCATGAGAGAATATGGACTCTGAGAAACAAACTGAGGGTTTTAGAGGGGAGGGGGGTGGGGGGTTGGGCTAGCCCAGTGATGGGTATTAAGGAGGTCACGTACTGCATGGAGCACTGGGTGTTATACGCAAACAATGAATCATGGAACACTACATCAAAAACAAATGATGTAATGTATGGTGATTAACATAATAAAATTAAAAAATAAATACGCTGTGTATTCAAGATTTTATAAATGAAATAAGTTAATTTGATCTTCAAATATCTACCTTGCTATGAATGCTATATATATAAAAGTCATTTTCTACTTGGACATTTGAATGAAATCCATAAAATCCTCATCTCTCTAATGTGGCAAGGAAAAACAAGATAGGAGAATTACCCAAAATGTTATGTTAGATATAAGTTATTCCAAGTAGGCTAAGACTACCTTTGGCTAAATCCTTTCATTGTTGTTGTCCCTTTCATGGTCACCACCAAGATCCTCAGACTTTTACTCCCCCAAACTTTGATCTGTGCTGTTACCAGTTCATGGCTCCTTACATATCAAGTTCAAGTGAGATTACACCCCCATCTGCTATCTTAAGGAAAAAAAAATACAGATTCTCAATTCTTTCAGTATGTATGTATAAATGTAAAACTTAATAAAAATCTGATTATTACTGATAGTGACTGAAATGTGTGTTATAAAAAAGAGAGTATTATAACTTTTTCAATATTTTTCAATATGTGAGTATTTTTTTCTTCCAACCTTGGGGTAAACACAATAGTTTCAAATCTCTTTTTCAACTTTGACGTCTGCTATATCAACCTTGATGTCTTTAACTTAAAAATTCTAAATTTTAAACAATTTAAAATATTTTTGGGGTAGATATGATCTTCCTATAATGATGTGATGAGGGATTTTTACATTTCTCCTAAAAAATCACACTGTTATTCTTATAATATATACTATGGAATTATTCATTCACTTCTCACAAGGCTAACACAGTAACACTCCGAAACTTAGCTACTGTTCAATAAAAAAGGGTCTCAGTTTTTTATCTCTTACATTTTGAAAGATAGAATATAATATAGCATACAGCAGACAAATCTACAAGTGAACTTAAAGAGAAACGAAGACTATATTTTGATACTCTTTGGTTGGCATATAAAAAGTATTTGATATATGTTAAATGAAAATATTGGTAAAATTGTTTTTTATATCTAAAATAAGATATACTTAGTGAAACAGAAGACTTTTTAGGTAATTGTGTGATTGGCACAAATAATATCAAAAGTGCAGAAAATAACCAAATCCTTCTATAGGCATTTATATTAAATAGCAAAATGTTACTTTAAGATTTTACAAATGAAATGAGGTCAATTTGAAAAATATTACTAACAGCATATTACTGAGTACTGAGTGTATGCCAGCCATTGTTCTAAGTGGGCTTTACATGAACTGATTCATTTCATCCATACGATAGCCCAGTGAGCTAGGTACTATTATCACTCCCCCTTTTAGCAAATGAGGAAACTGATGCTTAGTAACTCAGATGGGTTAAGTCTATTCTCTTAACCATAACAAACATAACTCCTCTAGACATTTTATGTTATAATAATAAGCATAATTATGTTGTTAAATTATATTTCAAAAATTAATCTTCAAATGCAAATTGATGAATGTCTTAACATGACAGTATTCCTGTAAGACTATTTAGCCAGCACACTATATTAAACCATGTCCATTTTTTGAGAAAACAAGTTAACAATAGAAATTATTGTAAAAAAAATCTTAATAAGGTCAACTGATAGATGGGTATGGCAAAAGAATGAAAGTAAATGCAGAGTCAAAGAAATATCAACGTATACTCTTGTGGTAGGTTATGATATAGCTACTCTGGATAAAGATCTGTTTACTGCAAATGAAGCAGGAAATCATAAGAACAATTTAAATATACTATATACACTCCCCTTCCCCCATCCCTCAAATGGGCCAAATGAAATGAATACTTGCAGATTTTCAAAACTAGTCTCCCAGTTCACGTATTCTTTAAGAAAAACAAATTCATGTGCTCTTAATTTACTTAAATTATTAAATAACTTCTTTCCCCCAAGAAAACAAAAAATTTTAAAACTTTGAGCAAAAGTGAGACATTTAAAAATCTATTTCAAATTCCATGTATAATCCTTCTAGTTAAGCTATTGCTGGAATTAGTTTGGAATTTTGAATTAGATACACAGAATTTTATGTGTTGTGTTTTAGATATGTTGCCACATTTGAATAATTGAGACAACTATCTTTCCAGAACCCCAAAATACAATCATTTTAAGAAGGCAGATTAAAAAATAACTAGCGGGACTCTCCTGAATAAGGATTAAGGTGGTTATGATTTTAAAATTTAAGTCCTCAAATGGTGATTCTTTGGGTTAAAGACAGAAAAATGGATGAGAAAACAAAACCCTTTGTCTTACCTCCTCATTAATATACCAATATAGGGATGCATCCTTTAGGACAAACCAGTATTTCTTCCATTTCTGTGAAAAATAACTCTTTGCATCTTTCTTTTTCCAAAGCCAACCTTCACAATCACCCCGGCCAAGATCTTTGCAAGAAATTCTTCTTTTGCTCTTGCCAGCTATAGGACCTAAAGATCATAGTAGGTAAAAATGCTCTTTAAATTTTACACAAGTGTGAAGGAAGAAGATTAATCTATAGCTCATAAAGATAAGTCTGGGTACTTAACCTTAAAAATTCTTATTTTTACACTGTACCAGAATAGAAAACTATGGAAATCTTTAATACTTTTCCCCCCGCCTAAGTGACATGCAATGGAATCAGGAGTGTGTAATCCCAGTCTCAAAACCAGTCGAGACCATTTATTGTAAAAGGTACCCCTTCATCATAATTGACCTGAAAGAGAAGCTGGTCTTGGCAGTTCTTGCTAGGGGTTTGTGATCTTCCAAACCACAATGGGCTCAGGCAAGAGAGGATGCGTGAAGTATGCTGGTGATTATCACAGTGCAAACTAAGCAGCTATATATTTCATTTCATTTCATTTCATTTCACTTCCTTTTCTTACCTTTGTTTTTCTTCTTTGATTTGTGCTGCAGTGAAGACTGCTGAAATGTCTGAAATCAAAGGATGGGAAGAATGTTATTTGACACTCGGGGTGCCATCCGCAGTGCCAGAATGCTGCACAGAACTCTCAAGAGCTGAACAATGACTCTGAACCCAGGTCAGAGAAAGTACTTTCTTGTTCCAAAGACTCAAAACAAATTCATATAGATCATGTCACTTAACTTTCTAATCAACCATGAAGCGGGAGAGGATATTATCGTTGTCTTTCTTTTGTAGGCAGAGAAAGCAGAGCAGGAAGCACTGGTGAAACTCAGGACTCTTATATATATATACAGTACTACTTTTTACCCTTTTTTTTTATGGGTTTATTGTGTTTTCCCAGGCAATATCTCATTTGCTTCTCACAAGGGCTTATGAAGTAGTCAGGCAAACAGGACTCTCACTTGTTACTTTGAAGTTCATTCCTTTCCATAAGCCACCAGCACTTGAATGAATATTTTCTTGTCATACCTACTTCTGTTACTAGGACTGGGAAGTAATCTTCGTGTAAGTCATGTTAGTACCTCATCTCCAATGATCTTTACTTCTCCTCTCCTCAGCTACCCATCCCCACGGCCAGGTTTGTTATCTTAAGCACACCCCGACCACTGCCTCTATTACTGACATTTTATGTAGCCCAATAGCTCCAACCCAGTCATTTTAAGAAAATCTTCACTGAGGCATCCAATTTGTCAGCCTTACCACCCTTCTGTGCCTTTTTTTTCCTCACTTAGTCTTCATGAGACATCATTATAATCATTATATTGAACCATGCTCTCTCCATCATACTTGCCTAGCTAAACAACCTTCTCAGCTAAACCCGCCTGTCTGCTCTATGCTAAGTACCAGAAAAGCTTAATGTTTTAGGAGAAAAACCCGCAACTGTGTTGACTGGTCTAGCTTTCAATGACTACAAATCACTGGTTCTAGTCAGACAGTCTACTAAGCTACATTGTTGTTCACGGGTATAATGAGGTTAATTATGTCCGCATGATTAGCTAGCTAACAGGGTACAGAGATAGCATGTGTAATTTCAATTCACAGATACTCCTTCACAATGAATTTTAGGTAACAAACTCTTTCTCTTTAGAAGGGTATGCCTGTAAGGGGTAATTGGATTTTGCTTACATAAAATTCACTGGTCTTGGTTTTGTACAATACATTTGTATTCTGTGACATACTTTCTTATTTGGTATCTTTGTTCATAAAATAACATTCTACTTATATAGCAATTTTCTTGTTTTGTATATGGTTTACTTAATTCTCATGAATATGGTATTACAGACGGATACCAGTCCTAAAGATAAGGATCAGATAATTTGCTGATGTACAGCATAACCCAGAAATAATTACCTTTAAAGCAATAGAAACATGTCTGTATGTGGTGTGTGTGTGTTTACAAAACTTTGCAGGACACATGGCTACAGAAATTCATAATCAATTTTGGAGAGGAAACAAAAGATAAAACCTATTATGCTGTGTTGATTTTCTTGAGTGCTCTTTGTTTCAAAATAAGAGCTCAAATAATAACTCAGGCCAGTGTGCTCAAGTATGGGTAATTTACATAGTTATTTTCCCTAAATTGTTTGTCTATAAAATTACTGATTTTTTTCCTTTCGTGTTTCCACAAGTACTCATTACAATCTTACAGTTCATTATTCTTAAAAATGACAAAGGTGGGGGTGGTTTACTTTTAGGGAGCTATATGTATAACAGACAACTTGAAAGAATTGAGTTATATAAGGTACCTCCTATGCCTTTTGCATGCTATTTCTTAGATCCGGGAGGTCTACTTTAAAATCTACACAAAAATATATTTTATGCTCTCCAGGCTTTCTTTTTAATAAAATTATCTTTTCTTTCCCCATAGATGTGTTTTTATACTGACTGTGATTGCAGAGTATAATCAGTGTACATACTGTTGAAACTCAAGAACTCCTAGGCATGCAATATAGATTTATCCAACATTCAAAGAAGCAAAGCCATAGATGTCTTTTGTAAATATTAAAAATATTACAATGAAATTATCTTAAGAGATTTTATTATTTTTCTGTGTGACATGACATTTTCTAAAATAAAAAAATGAATTGAACTACAGTTGAGCCTTGAACAAGGTGGGGAGCTGGGGCACCAACCATATAACTTTTGACTCCCCCCAAAACTTAACTATTAATAGCCTACTGTTAAACAGCTTAACCTACTGTTGACTGGAAGTCTTACCGATAATGTGAACAGTTGATTAATTTATATTTTATATGTTTTATGTATTATGTACTGTATACTTACAACAATACCTAACTTTTTCTTATTATTTTTCAGTATTTCTAGGTGATGTGGTTTGCCTGTGAGTTTTTTTTCAAATTGTCACAAATCTCTAAAAATTTTTCCAATATATTTATTGAAAAAAACCCACATATAAGTGGACCCATACAGTTCACATATAAGTGAATAACCCATGTTGTTCAAGGGTCAACTGTATATGCTTTTTTTTAATTATTATGTTATGTTAATCCCCATACGTTACGTCATTAGTTTTAGATGTAGTGTTCCATGATTCATTGTTTGTGCATAACACCCAGTGCTCCATGCAGAACGTGCCCTCTTTAATACCCATCACCAG